CAGAAACCATGGAGACCAGAAGAAAGTGGCACAATATTTTCCAAGTGCTGAAAGAAAACTGTCAACTGGGTGCCTGGGTGGCTCAGTTGGTTAAGCAACTGCCTTCAGCTCAGGTCATGATCCCGGAATCCTGGGATCGAGTCCCACATCGGGCTTCCGGCTTAGCGGGGAGCCTGCTTCTCCCTCTGACCCTCTCCCCTCTCATGCTGTTTCTCTCTCTCTCTCTCTCTCTCTCTCAAAGAAATAAAATCTTAAAAAAAAAAAAGAAAGAAAGAAAACTGTCAACCAAGAATTCTATATCCAGGGAAAATATCCTCCACAAATGAAGGGGAACTCAAGACAATCTCAGATGAGAGAAAACTAAGAGAAAACTAAATCACCAGCAGATCTATCTTGAAAGAATGGATAAAGGAAGTTCTCTGAGCAGAAAACAAATGACAAAAGAAGGAATCTTGGAACATTAAGAAGGAAGAAAAAACAATGAAAAGAGCGAAAATATGAGTAAACTAATAGACTTTCTTTCTCCTCTTGAGTTTCCTAAATTATGTTTCATGGTTGAAATGAAAATTAGGTCACTGTCTGATGGGGTTCTCAATGAATCTGAGGAAATATTAGGCAATTATAAATGGGGGAGGGTAAACAGAGGTTAAGGTTTCTACACTTCACTTGAACCAGTAAATCACTGAAATCAGTAGACTGTGATAAGTTGTTGTGAGATCATAGAAAATAGGTACATTGGTCTCTGCCCCCAGTTCCTGGCACAGGGCTTCTCAAACCCTTGTAATTTCCTAAGAACACTGGAGCATCTTTTGTTCTAGTGTTTGGTCTTTGACCCTGGTTCTTGACACAGAGTTCCTAAATCCCTTGGAATTTCCTGGATGACAGCAGGGTCTTTTGTTCTAATGAGGTGATTCTTGGTGGGTTCCTGGGTGGGGGCTGCCCACCAGAAAGACCAAGACATGATTAGAAGCTTGGGATTTTCAAACGCATCCCCCACTTTCCAGAGAGGGGAGAGGTGCTGGAAAGGGGGTTAATGATCCATTGTGCCTACATGATGAAACCTCCATGAAAATCCCCAAAGCATGAGGTCTGGAGAGCTTCCAGGTTGGTGAACACATCCACACACCAGGAAGGTGATATACCCCAACTAGAAAGATGAAATGTGTTACACTTATCTTTTTTTTTAATGCAAAGGAAATTATTTTCTCAATCAACTTTATTAAACTGCAACAAGTTTTATAAGTTCTTTTCATTGGCTTTTTATAAAATTGAGATATAATGGACAATACTTATCCTTTTATTAACCCTATTTATTTGGAATTTTTTACTTATATGGGCCTTTGCTTTTTCTCCCCAATTGGTAAGTGGTCCTAAGCAGAAGGAGACCTACTCTCAGTTGACATAATAGCAGCAATCATTAATGCTTTATCATAAAATAATAAATAAAAACTACAGTATGAGACAGTATTCTTAGAACAACTACTCAATCCTTAAGTGCAAGCAAATACTAAAAAAGAAGTTTCTATAGAAGGGTTTTAAGAACCCAGCATGGGCCATAAAAATAAAAAGTTAACTGAATTGTTTGATCAGATTTTTTTTAAAGATTTCTTTATTTTATTTTATTTTTTAAAAAGATTTATTTATTTTAGAGAGAGCACAAGTGGGAAGGGCAGAGGGAGAGGGAGAGAGAATCTCAAGCAGACTCCCCACTTAGCATGGAGCCCAATGCAGGGCTCAATCCCAGGACCCCAAGTTCATGACCAGAGTCAAAATCAAGAGTTGGCTGCTTAACCGACTGAGCCACCCAGGCACCTCGATCAGATTTTTTTTACTTACTATTCAGGTTCATAGATACTCAGATTCCAAGAATAACTTCACTAGTAGAAATAAGTACCCATCTTACTAAAAGTTAGATTAGTTCTGTGTACTGTGACCATAATGCTCAATTCACTCAAATCTATTTTCTGTTTCTTGTAGCCAGTACTCTTTGGAAAGTGTAGCCAAGACTGGCTAGTAGTTGTTCTTACCAAATCATTTCTCTCTCCCCTCTGGGCATACTGATAAACCATGTTTCCCAGCCTCCTTTGAAGTTTGGTATAGACAAGTCAATAAATTCTGACCAGTGGGTTGAGGGTGAAAGGCCTGGCCATAAAATCCTCCCATGCATGATCCTCCATTCTTGCCCTTCACCTGTAGGCCACATACAGAGGATCCAATGGAGAGAAGCATGACGAGGTCCCAAGGGATCATGAAGCCACTATCTGGAAGAAGTCTGGGTCTCCAAATTACCTCTTGGCAGAAACTCTAAGTTATCTGACCACGAGCACCCACATGGAACAGAGAGGTAATAAATAAACACTTGTGTTCAGCCTCTGAAATTGCGTTTTTGTTTTGTTTTTAAAATAACAGGGTATCTTGACAAATACAGAGTACACATGTTTCTCAAGCTTCCTTTCTTTGCTTCTCTACAATGGAATTCATTAGGGTATTGTGACCCTGCAAAAAGATAGTAAACTTTCTTAGAGAAACTTGTTAATTGGTAAGTCTAAGTTCTTTTTATCAGCTGCCCTTCTTTGCTGAGGCTTATTAATACTTTGAAATCCAACTTTATTTATTTATTTATTTATTTATTTATTTATTTATTTATTTATTTATTTATTTAATGGACAGAGAGAGACAGCGAGAGAGGGAACACAAGCAGGGGGAGTGGGAGAGGGAGAAGCAGGCTTCCCGCCAGGCAGGGAGCCTGATGCGGGGCTCGATCCCAGGACCCTGGGATCATGACCTGAGCTGAAGGCAGTCGCTTAACCAACTGAGCCACCCAGGGGCCCCTGAAATCCAACATTTAGAGCTAAATCAACACTACTTGCTCTTATTTTAAAGCTTATTTATTTTCTTTTAGTAATCTCTGCACCCAAGAGTCACATACTCTTCCAACTGAGCCAGCCAGGTGCCCCTCCCTCGTTGCTCTTTTTATTCGGTCATGGTCATGAGAATTTATCACTTTATGTCCCAGATGGCATCTAGCTAAATGGCAGATACACAGGTTTCAATTTCTCCTGAGGTGTCAAATGCAGAACAGAGTTAAGATGACATTGTGATCTGACAGAGCAAAGGAGTTATAAGGATTTTGGAATTACATTACCACACTATTTATCCTTAATCATTCAAATTAAGTACATTAGGTACCTTTTTTTCTTTCAGTGATCTACAGTTGTGAACCTTCTGAACCCACACAGATTCTTAATCTTTTTTGTGCCACAGACCCTCTGTAAGTCTGGTAAACTTTATCACTATAATGTTTTTTAAAATGAATACAATACATAGGATTTAAAAAACAAACGAATTAAAATAGTTATCAAAATATTTTTAATATGTATTGTATGTGTCTCTATTGACAGATTAATAAGATATAGAAGGGGAGGTCTAATAATTACTGCAATTTTGAAGTAGTGATGAATGGAAATGACATTTTGAGATAACAGTTATTGTGAAATGAAAATATTTGTGGTTTCTATCAGAGTGACAAGTATTGCTAAAGTAATTGGTTTGCTGCCTGCATTCATAACCAAAAAAAAAAAAAAGGTTAAATTTCAGTTAGAAGTTAATGAAACTAAAGATAAACTTCTGATTTTATCCATGGAGTTCAGGTTAAGAACTCTAGGACTGGAGGTTCCCCCAAAACATAGACAGTGTTTCTCTGAGTGGTGGAAATATGGGTGGCTTAAATTTTTCTTTTCTGTATTTTTCAAATTTTCCACAGTAAGCAAACATCACTTTTGTAATTTTAAAAGACATCACGTGTTATTTACAGTATTGCTTGGTAAAATTCAGGGTATAGAAATAAAATTGGAAAAACAGCAATACTTGAAGACTATCCTGTAGGGGAAAAAAAAGGAAACAAAATCCTGGATGAAGATGGAAAAATGGAACCTGACTTTCATCAGAAAGACTTAATGCTGCTGAGACTGTTATGCCATTTATCTTTATAGACAGAGGGATCAATTCTTTAATACATGATGCTGCCTCAGGGCTGAAGCACCATAACTCTAACAGGCCACAATCCACTCTTGAGCCACATCCAAAGGAAAAAAAAAAAAGAAACAGAACCCGCAGGCTATTACTCATGAGTTTAGTAATTTTATTATCCACACCCTATGCATCTTCCTCTCTTACTAACCTCGTAGCCAGGACTCATCTGTCTACTCAGTGCTCCACGCAGCGGTTGGGAAGAGAGAACTCCCAGCCAATGAGATCCAAACTTCTTAGCAGGCCCTACAAGACCCTCTAGGATCTGAGCCCCGCACCTACCTCCCCAACTTCCAAATGCAGTTTCTTTTTGTCAGCCTCTTGACTCCTCCAGTAAGTCAACCTTGTTCCAGCCTCAGGGACTTTGCCTTTCCTGGTCCTCCAACCTGGCAAATTCCTCCTCCAGAGCTCTCCCAGACCAGTCTGGCTCCTCATCCGTGCAGCTCCAGTGTCCTCAGAGAGACTTTCCTGACCGCCCTATTGCAAGTCCCCAAGCCATCCCTGCCCGTCATATTATTGCCAGCAGCACTCTCTGAAGTTATTTCCATATTGTTTCTCTTACTAGGAACTACGCTACTTGAAGGCAGAGACCTTCAATATTGGTCAGCGCTGTATCCTCAGCACCTAGAACTACCTGGCCCAGGAATGAATGAATGAATGAATGAATGAATGAATGGAATGAGCGTATACCTGTGGACTGTCTCCTCGGGGCGTACTCTGGCTTAGAAATAGAAACCGGTTTGCCGAGCGAAAGCGCGTTAACAGCGGTTTTAATCGGCCGGCTGAGTTAGCCCCCTGCGAGGCTCTGGAGTAGTCGGACGATGGCAGAAACCCGGACGAGCCGGGGAGCGGAAAACAAGCCCGGCGACCCGAGCCACAACTCTCGACGCGGAACTGCGGCTGCGCGGAGCGTGGGGCGGGGCGGGGCGAGGTGAGGTGAGGCCGACGCCGCTCCCCGGAAGTGGGTCCAGAGCCGGCGAGAGGACGCTGGCGGGCGGACTAGAGCGGCGCGGCCCGGCGGGGAGAAGGCGACCCGGCCATGGAGGACGAGCGGAGCTTCTCGGATATTTGCGGTGGCCGCCTGGCCCTGCAGCGCCGCTACTACTCCCCGTCCTGCCGGGAGTTCTGCCTCAGCTGCCCTCGGCTTTCGTTGCGCTCGCTCACCGCTGTCACCTGCACCGTGTGGCTAGCGGCCTACGGACTCTTCACCCTCTGCGAGGTAATGGCCAGTCGGCCCCTTCCCGCGGTCCGAGTCGGGGGCTGGGGTTTGGAAGGGTCTTTGGAGTCAGAGGGTCGAGCCCGGACCTCCTGTTGTTGAGTCGGAGGGCGGGAACTAGCTGGTTCCGCCGCTGGACAGCTGTGAAGTTTTTACACCGGTACTTTATCCCTCTCGTGGGTGGTGCTCTGCGGTTCCACCCAGCGTACATTTAGCCCTGTAACAACAGCCTAAGGCTTTAACTTGCCTGTGCTCCACGTAGTACACGCTCACAGTAATTCAGCCCCAAGAGTTCAGAGAACTAGTAAGTGGATCGTCCTCATCCACCACTTCCACTCCTCAGAGGAATCACTGCTGACAGTACCTTCTGTAGTCTTACAGAAACGGCCTTTGCCTCCACAGCAAGAGCTTGATAGTTCTTCCTAATGTTTTTCAAGGCAGTCGCCCCCCCCCTTTCCCCAACCTCAAGTACTTTCTAAAGAATTGGGAAGTTTTGGAGATAAGTTGTTTCTGTGCTCACTTTCCAGGCTCATTCCTATTTTCTGAGCCTCGGTTTTCACACGTCTAAGATGGAAGTGCTCTCTGCCATGCCAGCGTCACAGTATTGTGAGGGTCACGTGCAGTAGCTTTGTGACAGCCCTCAAATAAAAGGAGTCATCCTAATTGTCCTTTTCAGGATGAGTTTAGTTTCATATGTAGTGCTCTAAATTGAATATTATTATTCCAGGAGTGATCCGACCAGAGCTAGGGCTATTTATTTCTATAATTTGGATCTTGTTTTCATTTAATGCATTCATTGGCGTTTTTACCATCAAAGCATGGAAATTTGGTGTAGATACATGCAGAATTAAGACTGCCGTAATTTGTACCAAACTGTCTAAAAGTTTGTTCAAAAGTCAGTTGAAATGGTTAAGTTGCCAGGACAGTCCTCCTCCTTCCCCGTAAAAAGATTTAATTTATAATGTAGTTGAGTTTAACACTAGCCTGCGTTCTGGCCATGTGGCCCTGTGAGGGGGAGGGAACAGATCCTAATTAAATGCCCCGACTGCCTTACTTTAACCTTAGAAGAAAACTAAGGCTTAGAAAGAGTAATAACTTACCCAAAGTCACAAAGCTAGTAAACGGCATACTTGGGCTTCCAACCCAGGGCTGTCTGACTCTGAAACCCTTTCTTTTCCACTATACTGTCTCCTCTTAGGGGACGGTTTGCTTAGGCAAAATTTTTAAATAGAAGTTTGTTTTTATGCCAGCTCCTTTTTGTACTGTCTCGTCCTGGCATGTCCCACTTACCTCCATCAAGTGTCCACGACTCAGTAACCTTATCTTCCTTAAACTCCACTGCAACGTGTGTGAGGGCTCTGTGTACCAAAGTTTCATGTCTTTGTGTTCAAAACTATTTTGTTAGAGTAATGACTCTCAGGAGTGAGAAGAAATGAAGGAATTCATAAAAACATGTGGCTTAATTTCAGCCCCAATGAATATTGAATCGTTAGAATTTCAGACAGAAAAATGAAGTATGAGGAATGCAGGTGGTAATGAAGTTTTGGGCAGGGATTACCTTATTAAAAAGCTGATATGAATGAAATCCCCTCACTTTTACTGTTCTTTATCCCTTCTTTCCTTCTGGTTTTTGAATTCACAGTTCTATTAAAATTGCAGGTTATTGCCATATTTATTCCAATCTGGAATGCTTTTCCCCCTTCCTTTTCTCAACTAAGTATATCTGTCAGTAACCACCACCTCTTCTGTACCAGTGAAATCCTTCTTCCTTGGAAGTCTTCATGGGATATCCTGTGTGCTTTGATGTCTCTTTCTTGCTCTTTCTCTTTTAATCCTTTCTTAGGCACTTACAATCAGTTTCATAGTATTCTCCAAAAATACTTTATATGTATTAATTTTGCCTCTTACACATCTGTAAGGGCCAGGACTGAATTTTATTTCTCTTTATTCTTCCATAATGCTTATTCAGTTCAGACTATGAACCAGACACTGTACTAGATACTAGGCATTTAATTAACTCAAAGTAGATATTTCTGGATCATCAGAGACCGAGCACATAGATTTTTCCATTCTCCATTCATTAATCAACAAGTAATTACCTAGCACAGAGGTCAGCAAACTTTATCTTTAAAAGTCCAAATAGTATATATTTTAGGCTTTACAGGTCTCTGTCTCATAGTCCTGTTCCTTTTTCTTTCTTTTTTAAACAACTCTTTTAAGTGTAAAAACCATTCTTAGCTCAGGGTGGACCAGATAAAAATAGATCACAGGCCCAAACAGGCTCTTGATCCAACACTTACTGTTGTGTTAGGTAGAACGAAGTAGAAAAGTATTTTCAAAGAACACCAGGGGCGGTCAGTAGTTAAAGCAGTAAAAACAGATTTTATTCAGAAACTATTGCAGTAGGAGAAAAGAGTGATCTCAGTGCAGAATTGGGCCCAATTCTGAATACAGCAAGGACAAGTGGGAATTTATAGCCAAAGAGCACGGGGGGGGGGGGAGGGCGGTCAGTGGATGGAAAATGACTAAAAGGAAACATCAGGGGTAAAGGGGGATTCTGGCTAACTTGACATAATTCTTGATAAAGGCAGGCCAAGGTGATCACATGCCAAGGGTTCTCTCTAAACTGACTTAACAAGATTCTTGGTACAGCTTGCTGGGCAATGCAGGCCCAACAAGGATGGACACCACGGATGATGGTTTAGAAGAGTGTGATTAGAGTTAGGTCAAAGAGGGCATCTTGTCAGTAATAAAGAATAGATACTTCCTGCCATCAAGGAATGACATTCATAAATTACTGAATCTGTTTTGTTTCTAGGTCATCAGTGATTTTTTTTCTCCTATCCTTCTAAATAATAGCTTTTTGGGGCAAAAAAAAAAATATAATAATGGCACATAAAAAGAAAATACATCCATAGAAAAACACATCCAACTTCAGAAATGTTAAAAGATTGTAAATGTGTCTTAGAATCAAAGGAATAAATACCTTTTGAGCCCTTAACATGTAAGTTAGTCATTTCAGCTACTCAGCCTTAACACATCAGTTAGTCACAACCCAAAAGAACTAAAAGAGCTCCAAATGATATGATCTTTATTATTTAACAAAAGGAGTCAGGAGGTAGGTCTTGAGGGCATAAGAGGCTCTTCAGGGCCTTTTGATTCTTTTCATGTTACTGCACCTCCACCTCGTGTACTCGTCCTTGGCCTGGCATTCTGCATGGTCTGGCAGAGTAGCATAGTTCCATAGTAGTTCCAGGCATCAAACCCCAAGAGGAAGGGACCTTTTCTTCCTTAGATCTCTTTTTAAGATGACTTCCATTTTTCAGAGGCCCCTTCAGCAGACTTCCCCTCACATCCCATTGGCCAGAGTTATGTGTTCATTTCTAAACCAATCATTGGCAGGAGTGGGAACCAATCATGATTCCAAGTTCTATTAGGAAGGAAGAGTAGCTGTTGAGTACTATCTGCTACACTGTGCTAAGCATTTTATTATTTTGCTGTCTGATTTTGCAGTGTATATTCTGCTGATGGAGCATGAGAGGAAAAGATCTGAGTCCTTAAGTTTCAGTTTTGGAAGAAAAACCTCTGAGAGTGGTGTGATGGTAGATACTATTTTGGTGATGGAGGTTCTCCTCCCACACCTACCAGTTTGTTGTCTGGTTGTATTTCATCATATGCTTTCATAGCATTACAGAGTTGAAATAAAAGTGATTTCCCCTTCTTCCATGCATGTTCCTTCCATCTTTTCAACTCACAGTAGAACACAGGCTTTTTTCCACGCTGCCTAGAGTGGACCAGTTAAATAGCAAGATCTGTGCGGAGGACCATTTGGTGACCTTACCGCCTGTGTCTGGCTCTCTCTTCAGAACAGCATGATACTCTCTGCTGCCATCTTCATCACCCTCTTAGGCCTGCTTGGTTACCTCCATTTTGTCAAGATTGATCAGGAGACTCTGTTAATCATTGACTCCCTTGGCATCCAGATGACTTCATCCTATGCCTCAGGCAAAGAAAGCACTACCTTCATCGAGATGGGCAAGGTGAAGGATGTGGTCATCAATGAGGCTATTTACATGGTAAGTAGTTAAGTAGTAAGTATTACAGGTTTCTCTGGAGGAGATAGCCCATGCCTTTCCCTGGATCTAAACTGAGTCTTAATACCTTGATGTTACAGAATTAAACCTGAAGATTCTGTTCCAGTATTGTAGTGTTTCCTTTTTGGATGGCATGTCCATAAACCATTAAAGTGAAACTTATATTGGAAAGATACATTCCTTTATTTTTATAGAGATTTAGCAGGCTTTCATAGATCGTAAGTTAGCATTTTGACTTTATTTTTTAGCCCAGCTTCAAAATCATCTTCTTGTTGTTGCTGCTGACGTTTCATTGTTTTTCATTTAAAGAATGAGAATATACTTTTCCCTCACTTCAAAAGCAATCAAGTGTTCTACTAAGAGATAACCATTTATAAAAAAGTTTTTAGCCTTCCCTTGAAGAAAAAACAAAAGTTTCACTTAGGGCTCTATTTGGTTTATTTTCTTACAGCAGAAGGTGATTTACTACCTTTGCATTTTATTGAAGGATCCAATGGAACCACATGGGATATCCCAAGTAGTACCTGTCTTCCAGGTGAGCACAGAACAGTTGTCTAAAGTTTTTTCTCCAAAAAAAATCTGTTACCTTTCCCCGTTCTCTGCATTTCTCCTGCTACTAATGTTCAGTAGGAATGTAAACTCTTCTTGTCAAGATTATTTGAGGACACCTGACAGCTATTTTTAGTGAGAATTAGTGATTTCAGAAGTTTCTTTCTGAAGCAAATACAGGCTTTCAGAAATACTACAAATTTATCCAAACTTTAGAGAAAAAAATAGCAATTTCTGCTTATAAATCACCATTCATCTACTTTGTTAGTCTGCCAGTATAAGATTTTACATTGATGTCATTGATCTACACATACTGTTATACCCAATTTATGCCTTGCTTTTTAAATCTAATATACATATTTTCATGCATCTACAGAGTCCATTATACTTATCCTTTTAAATAGTTGTATTATCATGTTGAGTATCGTTTATTTAGCCACTCTACTGCTAGCTTTTGAAATCATCTCCAGGTTACTTTTTTGTCTTGCTCTTACAAAAAATACTTACACAAACAGGATTATAAGTATATAAAGTGTTTATATAGTTAACTGTGCCTTACTGCCCTTCCTTTTCTCACAAAGGTTTTAAGGCTGCTAAGCTAAAACTCTTTTGCATTACCGTTCAAAATTATTTTATTAATGTTGATGAACAATTTCATAGATTTTTACAGTTTGAGATTTGGCTCCAGAGATTGGACAACTTTACCATACTTTTTGGAATTTGTACTTGTTTTTCTACAGTCTTGGCTAAAACAGCAGGTTTAGTTGTTTCCTTTAGTATGGAGGTAAAGGAATTTAAAGTTACTAAATTGCTCCTTAAATGACAGATTTTCCATGTTTCCTTGAATTACCTATCTGTGTTTCCTTTGTTTTAAACTATCCATCTCCTCTGTTAGTCAAGTAGAATCTAGATATTGCTTATGCATTTGTAACAACTTATATATTTTGGATAATGAACTTTTATTAAATATGCTTCCCACATATATTTTTCCCATTCTGTGACTTTTCTTTTAATTTTGGTTGTATCACATTTCATTGTACAAAATACTTTTCGATATTTACATATTAAATTGCCCTTCTTGTCCTTGCAGACTGTTTCACAGCTTGTGACATTTCCAAGAGGGTCTGTCTTGTGTTATTCCTCTTGCTTTCTTAGCCAGTAAGGTGCTGTGTGGCCTGAACTTCTGCCTCTCTGAGCTCACACCTGAGCCATTTAGACCCCCTGCTGCGGGGAGAGATTGAGGTTGCACATGGATGCAGCACTGCTGAGCTCTCTCTTATGTTCATCTTGACTCTGCATTTCTTCCCTTTGGAATTCAGAGTGCCAAGCCCCGCCTGGACTGCTTGATTGAAGTGTACAGGAGCTGCCAGGAGATCCTGGCACACCAGAAAGCCACATCAGCAAGTCCATGAGTCCCAGCATTTCAGAAGGCCAGTATTGTCTTCCATGGGAGATGACTCCTAAGCCATAGTGGCTGGTTTATTTTCTGTATTCTAAACCATCAGGTGGACACGGTCCTAGGAACCAGTATGGATGCAGTGGATCTCAGAGCCATAGAGCAGGTGACTGGGAACCTAACTCATTGTGTGATGTTGAGCAAAGTATTTATGTCTATTTTAGTGATCCCCTTGTAAGGTTTTGCCTACTTTATCAATTGAGGGGAGACCTTAAGCGATATGTCAAAAGTAACGTTGACAAAGAGCACTTTGTGAAATTCCTAAGCACATTCAGGTTTACACTTTGTAGAGATTTGTGGTGCAAGGCAATGGGAAACTGACATCAGATCTCTTAAGAAACATAATTTCCAACTATGCAGTACCCCTGTATAAAAGTCAAGCCCTTCAGGTTCTGGTGAGTAGGAAGAGGTGTCCTACAAAAGACTAGTCTCTGTCCACCTAGCTCCTGTGTTCTGTACAGGGTTAATTTATGATGACTGTCTTAATAAACCGATCTCCTTCCAAAACATACACAGTAATTTCCTGGTTCACAGACAGCTGCTTTTTATTGACAGCACGAACATGGCATTTCAGCCATGGATGTCAAGCACATTAATACTCTACTGTTAACTCAGCATTGTCTATGGTTTCAAAAACATCTTTTGCCAAGAGGGGCGACACGAAAGGCTGGACAGAAATTCAACTTTGGTTTCCAGACATGTTAAAGAAGGATAAACACACAAACTGTAGAAGCCTTTGATTATAAGGCAGTTTCTTCTGTGTAAAATTAATAAAGTATGGGAGGATTCCTGAAGGGCTGGGAAGGAGATAGGGTGGGGGAAATAGCTTGACCCATAAATTCAGTGTGAACACAGCTCCATCCTTGCTTGCTTTTTCCTTGGGATCCTAATTTTTTTTTTTAACTCCCAGGTAGAAAATATTATCCTCATGGGCTTCAGAGACACTAAGGGTATTACAAACTAGAACTGTAATTCCTGCCTTTTACACCAGCCCAGTAGGGGTTATTCGGAGCCTGTGGTACATGTGATGTTTGACTTGTTCGAGGTAGAAATGTCTCAGCTAGTTCCCAAATTCTGGGGGAAAGGCAGCAGCAGAAATGGGAGATGGCTGTAAAATTTCCAGCCTTGCAAAGTCAAGTTCATTTAAAAAAGACACTCTCATGTGCTGCTTTTTTTTTATCATGCTTGTCAGTTTAAAGGGTGAGAGAGGGAAAGCCTACAGCAGCTGAGGTGTTCAGATAAACTAGTTCCAGCCTTGAAGTTTTTGCGGTGTGCAATACACACACACTTTGTTGAAGTCAAAGGCTTGGTTCTTAAATGCTACTGCTAAACCCATACAGTTTTCAGCACGTTATTGACAAATGCTCAGACTGCCTTAGAGCTATGAAATAAAACTCAGTTTCTCCAATGCTGGAAAATCAGAGTATAATGAACTCTTTCGTCTGTTTTTCTGTTAGGGGAGGGTGGAGACAAAGATCATCTCCACACTCAACATAAGGTCTTAGTTGGGGATGGGGGGATATTTGTATCACCAGGATGCTCTTAGCCTATGTGCCTTTTGCCTTTGGACTAATTCCCAGCGGAAGTTCGCCAGAAGTCTTGAGGAGCAAGACTGGATTCTGTTTCTGACTCATCTTTGGTGGCCTCACAAAGCAGCAGAAACGAGTGCATTTGCTTGGTCTTTCAAAGAACAAGGAAACAAGTGACGACCACCCATTCTACAGTAGGAAGCACAGCCTTCACTGAGCCCTGTCTATAGTCATTAAAATGAGGTCATGTTGGACTTACCCCCTGCCCTTGCTTGTACCCAGTTGGGCTGACAGTCCAGTGTGAGGGAGAACAGCTTCAACCTCAGCAGGGATAGTGCCTTTTCCTTGTCCTGTAAGGACAGGAGCTGCTGCCCCAGAGGGGCACTGCAAATGCCTACTCATTTTCAGTGGGGAAGGGAAAAGGTGAGTCTTACTCCTTTTTCTCCAGCCCTGTCAATACCTTTCCCATCTGGGAACGGAAGTCCAGTTTTAGGGAGTTCCAGGCTTTTGTCACAGTTCAGGTGAATTGGAAATTTTATTCCTATCTTGTTCAGGGATGTTGGGAAAACTTCAAGTATAAATCCCCACATAAGGACCATGTACAATATAAAAGATACTAGCCTTCCCTGAGAGTATCAGTGCAGAAAGCCTTGATTTACAGCACCGATGCCCTCAGTAACCAGTAACAGTGGACCATTCCAGTCTGTGTCTAGAATCGGGCAGCATCCAGAGCTCAGTATTCTGGTGAAAAAAAGTGGTTTCTATACTCGGTCTGGATTTTTAAAAGTTGGGCCCTGAAACATAAGGCACCTAGAGAGTAAAGGTTTCATGGACACTGAAATGCATTTCATAGAACAAACAGGGTGGGGTTGGGGGAGGGCTGTCAGGCCCATCACAGTAGATCATACCCCAGGATACAGATCTCTGATCCCAGAGGCACCAGGTTCGGAGCCGGGGGCGGGGAAGGGGTAGGAGAAACATTCACAGCAACGTTGGCCCTCTGGCAGCACAGGGAACAGAAGCAAAGAACTGCTGTCCGTCCAGTTCCCATAGCTGGTGGGCAGCAGGTGGGTTGGTGGGGGGCTTCACAGCTGCAGAGCAATGGTTCATGTAGCTGGCCATGATGAACGTAACCTCTGCAATCTTGAGACAACAGAAACAAAGGAATTGAACTGGCCTTGGTTTGAATCCTGACTTTCTCACATACTAGCTGCTACACTGGGTGCATAAACTTCCTGGGCTTCAGTTTCTTACCTCGTAAAAATACCTGGGAGAAAATGTCGGGATCATTTCTGTAAGGTTCAGGGGCCCAGGGAAATGGGTGCCTGCTGGTCCGAAGGGCCACTGACACAGAGTACCCTCCTGAGAACAGGAGAGGCGATATTCTGCTCTGCTCCTCTCCAAGCCAGGGAAGCAGGCCTCCCTGGAGGAAGTGTCTATATCCTCTCCTTTGGCAGGGGTGGTATTAAAAGGAGGAGGTCGGGGAAACTCGCAATTTTAGGATTGAAACAGCAGGGTTTCCACCTACTCTCAGAAGGGAGTCAGGAACTAAATCAGAACTTGGGTTTTGGAGTCTTTGTTGTTTCTGCTAGTTCGCATCTCCTGCACTGAGCCAGGATACAAGGCCTTAAAGCAGAAGAGGTCTCTGGGATGGACTTTACGACCTTAAGGAAAGGGGAGCACATGCAGACTGTCCCGCTTGGGGACGGTGCTGACAGAAGGCAGGAGAAGAGAGTGCACGGAGGAGGAAGCTGGCCGCCCTGGCCCCTGGGTCGGCTGCAAGAGGAGCAAGTGGGGAGCAAGTAGGCATCCACCTCCAGCCTGTGCGGCCCCGGGCTGCAGGGGCTGATAGCACCACGGGAGCACCTGGACCAGAGCGTGCGCCCTCCCAGCCAGCCCCTCACCCGCCAGCTCGGCAGCGGCTACTGAGCTACAACCTGACCTGAACCCTTTGGAGGACTGATTATAGACAAGACCAAAGTTTTACCTGGGGCAGGGCTCTTCTCAAGTACAGTCATAACCCAGCTTCCTCCCTTCACTTCAAGCCCTCCTCCTCAGACCAGAGAGATCCAAGTAACATGGTTTAGCAGCTGTCAGACCCACCTTGGGAGCAGCCATCCGGAAGAGCAACTTCTCAATGTGGCCTTTCGCAGAGCTCTGGTCTGGAATGGATCTAATCACAAGCATGAAGTCATCCCGGCAGCCGCCAAAGGTCATTACTGAAGAGTAGGGGTAAGTGATGTGCACTTGCTGCAAGAAGAAGCCAGTCAGTTCTGGGGAGACTTCCCAGCTGCCTCCTGAGCCGAACCAGCACCCACTGTCTCTGCCAGGCACGGGAAGCCTTAACCAGAAAGGGAGAACCTGGAAGTGGTCCTAATGTAGAGATCTACATCTTGAATGTCGATAAGCTGTGTCTAGACTAGAGGACAGCAAGGCTTGGGTGGGGTGGGTAGGGAAACCATGGTCACTTAGCTCAGGCCTTTGAGTCTACAGAGGAGAAGAAAAGGCACTGTTCAGGAGAAGGAAGGGTCAGAGAGCCAGCCCTTATTCTTTCGTACCATAGTGTTGTGGTCCAGGATGCTGACACCATCCTCATTCACAGCAATCCACACCAGAGTGCTCTCCTTGGAAGATATCTGGGCAGGCTGGGGAAACAGGAAAATCCCATCAGACATATCCACAGCTAGGGATGTTCCACCATAAGAGCTTTCGGAGGAAGAAGGCACATCCAGGAATCTGCTAGGCAGTGATTTCCAACCTTTGTCTTGTATTGGAAAACATGAAAGATGGTATTTGTACAGCATGCTGAAGTAAACAGAAGACATCTGGCTTTGGGGCTCTGGCCACCTAATTACCACCTCGAGAGGGGAGGGGACCCACAGTACCCTGGTTAGGAGGCTCTGCTGCAGAACAAGGCCAGCCCCAGCTGCTTGGTCATGGGCACAGAGAACGGGCTGTGTTCTCCTAGTGCTCACAAACGGACAGCATAAAACCCACAGGCTCTCCCCGCTGAAGTGCATCTTGGTTCAGCCAATTTCCTACGGGCTGAGAAAGAAACAGGAAAGCAAGAATGCAATCCTTTGGGCTTTAGGCTCTACTAGTGAGGAAAGTGGCTATTTGGTAAACAATTCCTGGTATGACTAATTTTCACTGCCACACCTGCAATAGGGCAATCCAGATTTCCTAGCTCTCCTACCCAAAAGACTGGGGAGGGGGATGGACATGTCCTCATTTTCAGAAGCTTTTCCCAACCTCCCAGACTGAGAGGGTCCCAGGGTACCCTGGTATATGCCTTTATAACACTCCAATACTTCTCCTTTCTTAAGCACTTATGATAGCTTGTAAAATAACTTACATGTGTTATTTAAAGAATACATATGATTATCTGATTAACATGTATCTCCCCTACTAGTGGAAGCTCCACTAAGGCCAGGATGGTATCTGATTAGCTCATCTCTTGCAATCTCAAACAGTGCCTGAGACCTAGTAGCTCGGCAATTCTTTCCTGAATGAATGAGTGAATGTCCACTGTCTATACCGTCAGTGAATAGGATCATGATCCAGCTTTGAGGACATGATACTCTGATTATGAATAAAGTTATGCATACCAGACACCTGGCCAAGAAAAGTTCCAGCTGAAATTACTGCTGGCCACCTGGGCTTCATGCAGGTGAAATTAACTGTTGCCTGAGTAGTTAAGAGGCCCCTGTGGCCATGCTAAGTCAGTAGAGATGTATTTGTTTAGGTTATATATTGTTCTTTTACACTTTTTAAAAAATGAAAGTATTCTTGAGGTGGTTGTCATGTCAAGTTTGAACCCTTGTGTGTAAATTAGTTGGTCCTATAATTTTTCTTTAGGGGTAGCACTGAGAAGTCAAAAAGGAAAGATTAAAGGACGCCTGGGTGGCTCATTCGGTTAAGCTTCTGCCTGCCTTCAGGTCAGGTCATGATCCCAGGGATCCTATTGAGTCCTGTATCAGGCTCCTTGCTCTGTAGGGAGCCTGCTTCTCCCTCTGCCTGCTGCTCCCCCTGCTTGTGCACGCACTCTCTCTCTGACAGATAAATAACTGAAAACCTTAAAAAAAAAAAAAAAAAGATGAAGGTCATCCAGAAATCATCCTGGCCCAAAAGCAGTGATCATAACTCTGCTCTGGACCGTGGAAAGTGGAGGCCAGAAATGGGTGGAGAAATAGCACCCTCTGGTGGTTGCTAGCGTGCAGGCAGGCCCTGCAGCCTGGACTGGCTCAAACAGGAACAGATGTGGAGAGTAGTAGCTTGAGGAGAAATTTAGGGCACGTTCCTGAGGGTGTGGTAATCACTCCTTCCCCCGGAAACCATCAGCACCTACCTGAGCAGCAAAGAGCTTAGCACCAAAGAAAGGCCATTTCCGGGCCACTGTCAGGTAGATGCGGATGCACTCAGGAGGGGAGCAGCCTTGCAGGGCTGCCCACTTTGTGGTCAGCAGATCTACCAGGTGCCTGGTTTGGATGGATGGAGAGAAATGGGCCAGTGAGATGCCAACAGGTTTTCATTGCAGCTCTGAGGCCATCTCCCACCCTGCAGCCCCTGCCTCCCCACAGCAACTCCCTCCAAGACCTTGCAGCCTACCTCAGCTGTTCAGGGGGTGCCCCATGTCTGTAGCGCCTCGGGTAGAACCTGTCCAGGACCTGCTGGAGGTGATGCTGAACCTTGGCAGGGGGTGTGCTCCCAGGGCCTAGTGGGCTGGGCCTCTCTAAGTCCCCATATTCTACCTGGGTTGCAAGCACATGGAAGAAGCAGTCAAGAATCCGGAGGTGGGTGGGGTGGGGCTGGGGCTGCTGGAGAGGTGAAATAAACCATCACTTCATCACTTCATTGATGGGGTGTGGATGGATGTGAAAACACTTCCTGTGAACAGACCCTTCATCTCAAGTTTCACAGACACTAGAGAAACCACCTTATGGTCCTCAATTATTATTTACATCCACTCTCCTTTTACAGCGGGGGTTAAGTGCCTTATCCAAACACACAGTTCATTAGTGGCAGGCAAGGGAAAACTATGGATCTTCTGGCTTCTAATCCAAACATGAGATCCAGGACTGAAGATGCTATAGATCCTAGAGTATTGCAGTGTTCCAAATGTGGCCTTTGGAATCACACACCCGGCTCAGATCCCAGCTCTGCCATCTGCTGGCCTTGTAACCCTGAGCAAGTTATTTAAATTCTCTGGGCTTCCATTTCCTCATGTGGGGATAAGAACTAACTGGGATAATACGTATAAAGTACTTAGCAGAGGACCCTCTATGGAGTATTCAGCAAATGTTTATTATTATAAAGGTCAGCTATTATTTCCCCTTCCTCTCCAGCATGTACATTCAGACCCTCCTCTCTCATGGGAACCCCGAGGGCATCCCAGATACCTCTGGCAAGACAGCCTCCTAAAGGTAATAGGGAGAGAGTGGAAGTCCAAATGCACGTTCCTCTTCCTGATTCTACTTACAATGTTTTACAGTTGTAAGTACAAATCTTATCACATCTGTTACGTGATATACATCATTTCAGTAGCACACTGAAGTACATAGTACAACCCCGTGGGGGAGGGCAGGGAGGCATTTTTGTTTTTGGTATATAGAGAAGGAAACTAAGGCAGAAACCACCGCAGTGACTTGGCCAAGATCTCACGGTGGGAAGGTGGCCAGTGCTCAAGGGCAGGGCTCTGGATTCCACGTCCAGAGTTCTGCATGTAATCTCTACCCGCAGTGAAGGGCTGTGATGGTGAGGAGTCAGCTTCCCTCCACAGCCAGAGACAGCCAGGCCACCCTCCCCTCGGGCACCGCAGGGTCTGCGGTCTCCTGTTTCAGGCTGTGTGCTACGTGCCCCCCTGTGAGCCCAAAGATGGTGCCCTGATCTTCCCAGTTCCTGAACAGAACCTTACCTGGGCCATCAGGGCAGCCATCTCAAGAGCCAGCTCCTTGTTGACAGGAAACCTCCCTGCCACTACCTCCCCGCTAGTCTGGGAGGCCAGCAGCAGCCGCTCCCGCTCCGTCTCCCCTCTGACCTGACTCCGAAAGTACAGCCTGCAGGGAAGATGGCGAGAAGCAGCCAAGACTCAGCTGGGATCCCAAATGGATGAGGTCATCTTGGCAACTGTTTATCTTGATTTCCAAAGAAAGAAACTACGCTTTTTATACCATCTGTGAGCCTATTTTCTGTTGCCTCCAGAAAAATTTAAGCACGACCCAGGGCTGACCCAGGGCCGTGAGCGCTCATAGCAACAACGGCCCGGGGTACACCTGACCGCACCACTGCCCTGCTGGGTCTGCTGAGGGGGTCTGCTCCGGAGCCACAGCTTCTCAGGGAACTGGATGAGTTCAAGATGCCAAGAGAATACTGGAAATCATGTGCCTGGAGACAGACCTGGGATGGGATTTTCTTATCCAAATGGACAAAAAATCATGGTATCTACTTCTATATTTGCTGGAGCTATTTATTCTTGAGCCTTGAATATCTAGCGCTCATACAAAATTTCACTCTTCTAATGGAACCTGTGCAGCCACCCCACAAGGGTGGTCCGTTTTCCTGGCAGGGGTGTGTGTGTGTGTACATGCAGTTCAGGGACCAAGAGCCTGAGCTGCCCAGGGTCTCACCAAGGATCACCAGAGCCAGCCTGGGCCACCACCTACTGCCCACAACACAGCGCCGTCTGTGGACGCGCTGTCTGTCTGGCACAGGCCCAAGGGTACGGTGATGAGTGCCCCCCTCCCCCTCCCCCTTGGCCGGCGCTCGGGACCTGTTCTTGTACATCAGCTTCACAACACGTGTGCCACCCTCGGCCTTGCCAGAGTGCAGCTCCTTCAGGGCTTGCTCCCACTTGGAGATGGCATCACAGATCTGAAACAGGCAGGAGAGGACAGTCAGAAAAGGCCCTGACGAGGGGTACAGGTCCCACCAGGGGCAGGACCCAGGGAGAGCAGCAGGGCAGAGTCGAGTGACTGTCCTCCATCAGGAGGCTGCTGTGCAGGCCTCATGCGCCTGGGACCAGAGGTGTCTTACAACGACCCCCCAGACAGAGCGGTAGAGCCCTGGGCATGGCATGAGCAGAAAGCCTGGGATGCTGCCCCCCACTGGCCTTGACACCTGAGGGGGCCTCCCCGGCGGCTAGGAAGGCCTCCGTCAAAAACCGTGGCCTCCTATTTATTACCAGCTCCATTTCCCTTCCACTGACCACTATTCTCTTCAACAAGTACACCTGGAGGCCTACTGTGTAACCAAGCCTTACAGACACCCAGACATTTACAAAGAGGACACGCGCGCAGTGGTTCCGGGAACAGTAAAGGACTGGAGGAGGCTTTGTCCTGTTTCCATAAGAAGAACAGACACGGAACCAA